TCTAAACACCCCTAATTTATTTTGCAAAATAGTTTAAAATATATGAGTTGATTTATTTTGGGTAGAGGAGTAGTAATTAACCTGTTAATTTAGTTTAATTTATTGACTAATTAGGATCTGCAACCGGCTGTCAGTCAGCCAGACCTGCATATCCAGGCATCCAGCTGCCTGCAACTGACAGCATGTGGCGAAACGGCGTGCAGCCGTGAAGCTCGATCGATCCCCACTTAATTAGCCCACTAATCACCCTATCTAATTAATTAAACCACTGGAGATTTCGAATGATTTTGCCCAGCTAATAATTGGGAATGTTGCATTATATGATTAATCCCATTTTGTGTGTGTGCTCTCCGTTTGTCGTTAGTAGAGATAACATATAATTGCGGCTTATTTGCAGACATGCACCATAGTACTCTAGGCCAAATTATTGTGGTATCTCTCACAACCTAGGAGTAGTATATAGCTATATTAATTCATTAAAACAAACTATATTATGTCCCGCAGGAAAAAAATAGTTATACAGCTATATATATATGTCACTCTCAAATTATTTATGGATGGACTAATAAGATTGAGATTAATTGAGATGTGTTAGTTTCCTTTAATTATTTTCACCTTCTGACATAGATGGTGCTGACTAGGTGGCACTGTGGATCATGCATCACGTTAATATTGATCCAAGCTAGGTTAAAGCTATACTAGATATATGTTACCTAAAATCGTGAAGATTTGTGTATGGACCAACCATTGATCTGGTCCATTAATTCAATCTAGATGATCACTTTTACTTTAAATCATAGCTAATTAGCCCATCTAGAAAAATACAGTATTTCTATATATATCTTTCATATTTTTGAGTTTTGACAAGCACAATGCATGGATGACAACACACTCCAACAAATTCCAACTTTTCCTTTATTTAATTTTGTGAGTGAAGTGATAGGCTATCTACTAGCTTGTTTTGGTTGTGATTTGGTAGGTAGACCGGGACATAATTGGATTATACTGTAAAATTTATTTTGTACTCCTGTATTATCAAATTCCTATTTCCTACCAAACCTGAAAACATTCTAGCTAGTAGCTATATCAGGCACTGGACAATGATTGAAATTGGATTAGTAACATATATTTCTTCTTTATTTTTCCCAAAACTAGTGATATACCCATGCATTATAACAGGCAAATTATACATTTGCCATGTCGTTCCTGAAAATTAAGATGAACAAATATTAAAACTATTTATTCGTGCGCAAGTACAATCAATTCTATGGGTTGAATTTCGCATTATTAGCTTAATTATAATTCAGTTAATTAAGTTGCATCTGTACTATGATTCTATATATGATGCAACATTGTATACTACGCATGTTATTGCTTATGGTAGGTCAATAGTCAAGTCAGATACCCCCATGATATTCAGATATAATGCGGTAGTTGAATTGCATTGCATTGAATGCAGCTATCAGCTAGTAGTACACTACATCCAACTATCTTCTTCACGTGCAAGAGAATTCTCATCATGTTAAAAAAATTATGTGTGCTTAAATTAATTCTTCCAAAGCACATGTGCACTTGTGCAGCAATTGCAGGTTTTGTGTCCTATAAGCTCCGTATAACCAACAGTTTTTCTTCTGTTAATCAAAGCGATTCTGATGCAGGACAGTACTCTACTTTACTTGTTATTCAGGACGGTTAGCTGGGTCACTGACAATGTGTTCTTATCACGGTTTTCCCAACTCATCTCTCTCGTTTTCCGCGCGCACGCTTTTCAAACTACAAACAGTCCATTTTTTTTGGAAAAGTTTCTATATGAAAGTTGTTTAAAAAAAATCATATTGATTCATTTAAAAAAAAAGTAGCTAATGCTCCATCCGTCCCACGATATAAGGGATTTTGAGTTTTTGTTTGTAACGTTTAACCACTCGTCTTATTCAAATTTCTTTTACAAATATAAAAAACAAAAAGTTGTGCTTAAAGTACGGTAGATAATAAAGCAAGTCACAAATAAAATAAATAATAATTTCAAAAAATTTTGAATAAGACGAGTGGTCAAACGTTACAAGCAAAAACTCAAAATCCCTCATATTATAGGACGGAGGGAGTACTTAATTAATCACACGCTAATGAACTGCTCCGTTTTCCGTACCGGAGGAGGGTGTTCCCAACCAGTAGAACACTTAGGAAAAGTGTCACTGATTTGGCTGGTGGCAATAGAGACGGATGTTATTTTTTCGAGGAAACATCTATCATAGATGGACAACTGGAGGAGGGGAAAAAAACTACTCTATCTGTCTTCAAGTACTTTTTAGATGGGTACTACTCTATTTGTCTCATATTATTATAAGTTATTTTGATTGTTTAGTTGAACTTCTTTAAGTGATCAAATTTATAAAAAATATATATTAAATATTAGATTCAATGAAACTAATTAGATGTTTTATATGTTGCTAATTCTTTTTATAAATTTGATTAAACTTAAAAAAGTCCGACTAGAAAAAAAATTCAAAATAATTTATAATATGGAACGGAGGAAGTATTCATCTTCAAACTTTGGCCGCTCGTCTTGCTTAAAGAAGATGCATAAACCATATTAATTAAATACATTCCATTGTAAACATAGTCATGAAACTTCTGTATATTATGATATAATTATAACCATTCAAAATTTATTGAAGGTCAAAGATAAAATTGTACTAGTCAACGGTAACAAATTTTTGAAACCAGATGGAGTATACTACGATGGGTTTTCAAAGGCAATATTTGAAACGTTATCATAAAACTAAGGCTCGCTTTAATGTACTAGGATTTTTTTTTTCCAAACGAAAACATGCCTAAATTTCTATAGGGCCAACGAGCCCAACAGGCCCACATATTTTATCCTCACCCCGGAGTAATATGTTGGGCCTAATCCACGGAGATTCTGGGTGGAACCAGCCCATTTTAGGAAACTAGTTCTCATTTTCTTTTTTTTTTCTTTTAACCAGAGAAACCCTAGTGATGCATCAAAACCAGTCATTTTTTTTTAAAAAAAATGTTTCCTTTTTCACATATGTGGAGCTTGAGATCAATTAATTTGGAAAAAAAATATTATTCAAGAAGCTGGAATCAATGGGAGGGTGCGAAGTGAGTGTAGCTCAAATAGTTAAGTTCCTTGTGATGATTATAAGTCTTAGACTTAACATGACTGCTTATATTTATAGCTATTTATTTTTTCAATGGTAGATGGCATACCCATCGATAGCGAGGTGTCCGTGGTGACTTCATCAATCTCAAGATATATTAGTCCGGTCTTTTAGAGATGCTTATAGGGATAGGATACATGTGTGTATGTGCTCATACTTTGTATGAGTGAGTATATGTATGTTGTAAGCGTTTATATTTGTACTGTGTTTCTCAAAATAAAAAAAAATAAAAGGAAGGGTCTAGAGCTCAGAGCAAAGGTTTAGAAAATGGAACTGGGCTGGTTTCTTCTTCAGCCCATTAGGGCCCATATAAAAAGCAGAATTCAACCTCCCAAAGGACAACAAAGCAAGATAATTGTTTTGATTAGAGAGAATATCTCTATAATCTTAAAATATAAGTTTATTCATCACATCCACATAAGGGTGGCGTTGTATGCCCATTCATTCATTCAGTAATACTCCCTCTGTTTATTAAATGAAGTTGGTTAGTCTAAAATACTACTCCCTTCGTTTCGAAATGTTTGACACCGTTGACTTTTCAGCACATGTTTAACCGTTCATCTTATTCAAAAACTTTTATGAAATATGTAAAATTATATGCCTACATAAAAATATATTTAACATGAATCAAATGATAGGAAAAGATGTAATAACTACTTAAATTTTTTAAATAAGACGAACGGTCAAACATGTTTAAAAAAGTCAACGGCGTCAAATATTTTGAAACGGAAGGAGTAGTAATTAACCAACGTCATATAATAAAAAAATTGGAGGAAGTAAGAAACAGGCAAATAATCATTTTATCCGAAGATTTGATTTGTTTTAATGCTCTACAAATTGGGCTACGACCTTGCCGTCATTAACTTAGATGATCTCACATATTATTGTCACTTAGTGTCAACATAATCGAAGTGGCAACGAATACTATCAAATTTTACTCTTTTTTTTTCTCTCCCTCTTATCCTCTTCTATTTGTCAAGTTTGTAATAATTAAAACTTAGTTAATTATTCCCTATGTCCTATAACATAGCAATCTAGTACCGAGCAGGATATTTCATATTACAACGAATCCAGACATGCTTTCTGTCCAGATTCGTTGTACTATGAAGTGTCTTGTCCGGTCCTAGATTTCTATATTATGAGACGGAGGAAGTATGTGCTAATAGCTATCTCGTTTGACGTGCTCCAACTTTATTTTCATCTTCATGAGTGTCAAACACTACCTATGACTTCTTTCATGTCCCCAATGAGCCGGCTAGCAGTGCGAGATTGCTGATTAAAAATGCGTGCATTTCGCTTCTTCCAAACCATACAACAGAGTAAAAGACCAACAAAACCAAAGAACCCTCATGCCCTTGTCTTGGGCATCCTCGTTATAGCCGGTTTCAGACCTTGCATCAGAAGAAGAAAGCCCAAAATGAGGCTGAAAAGGAGGCAAACCAGGACAGCACAATTGTGCATAAGCACATTTTCGTTTCAACTGACGAATGTTTCAGTTATCATCCTAACCTATAATTAGTTCGTAGAGATTTCACTAGATTTTTCTTCTTACATATGTACTAGAAAAAGAAGAAGAATAGGTCTCTAGTTGTTAATTATCTCAAATTATGAAAAAGGTAAGAATGTAAAAGGTCAGAAGCAATAGGAGAGGATTGGTGTTACCATTTCACAGCCAAGTTTCATAACCAACTGATGAAAAATGTATCAATGTATAGCCATTTCAATTAAAACAAAGATTAGTTGCAAGGTTATCATGTCACTGTCTCAAATTCTCAATAAAAAGAAAATAAAAACAGAAATGTGAAAAATCTGCAGCACTGAAGAATGCAAAACTTCCCTGCTTGTTTATTCAAGAGTGTGTTTGTTACTGTACAAGAGAATCATCCATTCATTATTTATTAACCCCAATATACCATTAATTTACTCCCAACAAAACAAAAAAACAATTTCCAGAATAATTCTATCTCAATTCATATATGCTCATCATAATTTCAAACCTATTTGAAATTTTCAAATGCTACATCTATTCATTTTTAAAATTTTTTTAACACTTTCTTTTACACTTGAGCTCAAGCTTGGAGGTCACCCTTCTCCTCTGGCTCGAGCTCTCTGAGCTCGTCGGCCTCGCTTCTCCTGCAACTCCGGTAGAACATGCAGCTCACGATGATCTCGAGCACGACGCAGAGCGCGTGGATGTACGCGATGGAGAACGCCTCGCCGGCGACGCCCGCCGCGAGCCTCTTGCCGTCGCCGGCGCCGGCGAGGCGGTGGCGTTGCGCCTGCGACACGACGCGGAGCTGGAACAGCGCCTCCGCGGCGGCCATGCCGAGGTTGGTCGGGAGCGCGAGCGCCAGCGCGGTGGGCACGCGGCCGCGGATGACGACGCACGCCCTGAGCACCGCGGCGTGGCCCGCGCGGCGCTCCATGGCGGACACCACCACGGCGAGGTTGCAGACCACGGTGGCGATCCCCACGGCCACCGAGTAGGCGATGGCGCCCGCGGCGGACAGCGCGAGCGTCGCCGCGGCGTGGGAGGTGGTGGTGAGGCCCAGGAGGTCGGCGCCGTTGAAGGCGAGGAACATGAGGGAGAACACGGCGGCGTTCGCGGACAGCATCACGAACGCGCCGAACAGGTGCGTCGCCACCATCGCCGGGTACGCGCCCGCCACGCTCCCGCACGGCGGGAGCCGCGTCGCCCTCGCCACGCCGCGCCCTCGCCGCGCCACGCCTTCGCCATCGTCGTCCGGCCGGAGCATCGCCGCGACGCACGCCTTGGCGAGGAGCAGGAACGTGAGCGTGAACGGCAGCGCGGCGGCGAACGTGAACACCGTCTGCGACAGCTTGGCGTTGAACAGCGCGAAGAACGACGACGGCGGGAACCCGGCGGCGTCGAACATGCGCCGTATCCTCGCCGACACCGCCGCCAGCGCTCCCGACGACGGCGACGCCATGGCGCCCGACGCCAGCACGGCGGCCGAGAACGGCAGCACCAGCAGCCCCGCCACGGAGGTGTAGCAATGGTAGCCATGGAAGAACGCCGCCACCGCCGCCCTCATCACCCTCCCCGCCCTCGCCACCGTCGTCGGCGACGCCGCCGCCGCGCCATGGAAGCCTCCTCTCCTCATGCCGCCAATCCAATGCAATAGTGTCAAGCCTTTGGTTTCTTGGAATTCTTGGAGGATTTTGTAGCTTGAGATTGAGGTTGAGATGATGATGATGATGATGATGTGCTACTGGTTTTTGAGATGGAAGCTAGAATGATTGGCTACCTACTGATCCATGAGCGAAATGGGCGATGCAATGGACTCATCTCATCTCATCTCATGTCCACCTTAATATGGTGGAGGTTGAGAAGAAGCAGGTGAAGGAATAGAGGTTGAGGAGAAGCAAACAAATTTATAAAATTTAGAAGAATTTTCAATTACTAACCATTGATTTAAAAAAAAGAAATGTTTTTTTTTTAAGTTTATGTTGCTTTGGTAATATGGTCATTGTAGGTAGTCCTAACTTGGATGTGTGATGTTTCAATTGTCAAAAAATATTCTTGGATTGGATATTTATGAGAAAATTATTTTCATTAAACATATGGAATTAGTGCAATTATTTATGTCTTTGCGTTTTTGTGCCATGGAAAAATATATGATTTGTGACAACGAACTGCATCAGAAACTGGTAGTCTAAAGATACAATAAATACCGTGTCAATAAGGTTTGAAATTTCGATCCAAAATCTCTGAAATTTCAGATTTACCGGTGGATCCCAGTAGGAAGCATTTCCAGATAAAACTTTTGAGTTTGTTTGAATTTATAAATTTTCTGTTCAAATTGAGCGAAAATCTTTCTCAAAATTTCGTATGATATTTTGGTGCACCATTTTTTTTTAACATCCTGAAATGTAAAACCCTGGCCGAGGCTGCACTCAATTCTGTCACCAGCTATACAAAAAGTAACAAATGACATGCAATTGCAGGTGACGTTGCATCCAAGGCTGTATGCATATCAAATAGACAAAATGTAAGAGGTTTCTTCGATCATATCCCACTCAAAGGTCAAAACTATTTATGAAACTGAAGAAATACAGCTTTCGGACGGCGAGCGTACGACAACGGAGTTGGGCAGAAACGCAGAATGGTTGGAAGAACTGAAGCCACTGCATTAAAAAACCAAGAAGAAAAAAGATAACAAAAAAAAAGCAGTTCAGATAGGAATGTTGGTGACTGTCAGAAACTGTCACTTTCACAGTTGGGTGAAATTAGGTCCACTACCGAATTCACCGGCCCAACCAACATCTGACAGTCCGAGTGACAGTTACTCTGAATTGTTCATCAGCAGTTGGAGGGGTAAAAAAAAAGGCAGAGCACCTTCTTGCTGTTCTTTTATTTTTTATTCTTTTCAGCTTTATTTGATGGTTAAGATAGTACTTCTAGGTTTATCAAGATTTGGTTTGTTGGTTGCTTCGATGTGCTTCACTTGGAATTGAAGTTACTTCAGAGTCACATGGCACTATGTAGGATTTTGTTATCGTTTATTTGTCCCCCTCAAGAAAAAATAACGTTATTTGTAGTTGATAATTGTTATGTACTGTCAACAAGATCACGCTATTGACTTTAGATCAAATGGAGATAACAGATGTAACCTTTCTCTCTGCATTATTATTTTCTTTTCAAAAAGGATACTTTATCTCTGATTGATCTTTATTGTTTTGTAAAGTACGAAGACTCAAATGCTTAAAATAGGATCTTATCTGCATACAGAAAGGGTGAAATTTTAATGAACTAACTTTATCCAGAACAGATAAATGATCTTTTAGAGAAGTTAATAACTGTTTACCTAATATGTTCAGGTGTAACAAAGTTTGGTACAATCTTAACACAACTCCCATTTCATTGACAAACCTTTTACTTCCTTACATATTCACTCCTCTAGTTGCATATCAAAGTGATCATTTATTACCTATCCAAAAGTGATCCATGGTACACACCGGTAAATTCACCTGAAGACAGTTAAACTCTCCCATGAATTAGGTAGGTCAACTTCTTAATTAACATTAAGCTCTTCTTTAGGTTGGGATTAGGAAACGTAATAATTCTAATACAAAAGATATTAGTACTATATCATCACGGACTCTGAATTGTACTGCTAGTGGAGATGGAAGGTAGATCTCTCTTGTTCAGTGAGATCCTATCACCATTTATTGTCTCTTGTTGCCATGTTCTTTTCCCATGTAATTATCCAGCCAAAAAAGCAGGGATCTAAATGGAAATTATCCAGCCAGCCAGCAATTAGGCATAGCCAATGAGAGCTAGCTGGTGGTTGTACTGACTAAATGGAAAAAAGGCTAGTAGCAGCAGCATCCACCAGACATGCAGACACTGATAACTAAAACCTGTACATAATTCAGCCAAGAAAAATGCAGTTAATGGCTGTTTTGATCAACTTGAGTTCAGCTTGTTACATGCACTAATAATGCAGCTTCTGCACTCAAAGTAGTACAGCATGTGTTTCTGCAGGGGTAAAATTGTTCTGCAATGCATGTTTGCATGATCCAATTTTGACTTTGTGCATGTCACTTCACTTCACCCTCACTCTCACTCTAATTGAGTCACTAGAGTTTGTTGAGCTGGGACTCAAAGAAGGTGATTAATGCACTTTGCTGTGTTTGACCTAACTGATGAACCCCAATTATTATTGTTAAGCCAATCTTGTGGATGTTCTTGATGTGTGTGTGTGTGCATCATTGCTGCCATTTTGGTTTTGTACCAAAGTAAGGAAGCTAGGTTGGGTCCAAGGGGCAGGAAAGAGAGGTTGGCCACAGGACCACTGGTGACAGGTCAATTCATTTGGTGGAAAAAGCATATCTGCAAACTAACTAATTATTAACTAATGGCCTCTCATTTTTGTTTATTAACTTAGTTTCCTTCACTAGTTGTTCCTACTTATCTTTTAAAAATTGTGTCATTACTTTTTCAGTGCCAACAAGGTTGTGGAGAAGGTTTTGTATGTTAATAAAAAATCTATTTGGTTGCCAACTTACTATTATCAGTTAGGTGTTTCTAACAGTGCTAAGTCAATAAAAAGTGCTTGATTTCAGGTCGTTTTCCAGGGCATCTTGATAAACCAGCAGCTTACCTATCTATGTGGTTTTCATTCTCTTTTTACCAATTGCCACTACCATTTTGAAATGTAGTGTTCACCAAGCAAAAGAGAAGACAAATAACTAAAAACTTACATGGACCACTCTATGCTTGGAGGGAGGATGATCCAAATTCCAAATTAAGCATGCAAATTTACCATAACATCTTCTTTCTTCCTCTGTCTTTTTTTAGCCGAGCCGGCCTAAGACAGGCGGACCAAATTTACTTAAGAAAAGGATATGTACATATTTACAGAGTTCAAACTTCGACAAGAGGCTGCCCAAGTAATGGATGTTGCACAGGAGCAACTTCTTTCTTCCTCTGTCAAAAAGTTTTACAATAATAACATCACTCTCTCCATATTCTTGATGTTCATATATAATTAAAACATCTCTTATCCACATTCTTGATCCGAACCGCCATCGATTCGTCGATCGGGCAATCCATTTCGCAATTCGACCGCTTGTATGCGTGGATCTAAGTACTTAAAAAGCCTACATTCCCCAATCAAATCTACTGTCCAAAAAAAGACATGTTCCTTGCTAACTAGTGCCATAGGAGACAAAGGCATGAGCTAGCCCACCTATGTTTATTAATCAACACTAACGAAATTTGGAGCCCGGAATGCACGCAACCATATATAACATCCAAAATGGAAGGACCACGGGTAGATAGGTAGCTCACGTGCTCTCACAAGGAACTCAGATTCAGCTCTGATAATTTAGCATCTCATGGATCAGAGATGTTAATCTCAGTTAATCAAGAAGTAGTAAAATCTTTTTAGTTATTAGCTTCATGGTTTTCTTGTTGCAAATTGCTTCTGTTCCATTATGTTCATCATCGCTTTAATTTGTCGGTCATCTACTGGTGATGATCTGAAAATTAGATTAGCAGTTGGCATCACCAAATCTTTCAGGTTTGTTGGCATCTCTGTATCCTCCAGCATAATTGCATACTTCTTTTCTGAGTTCTCGCACAAAAACAATATAAAATATGTAATAAATCTAGCTTCCGTTTGTTGCTGAGATGGCTACACTTCTGTTATATTCGTTCACATCACATCGTTATACCAGGATGCACATATCAGAAAATTCAGAGTCACAAACTTTTCGGGATAGCGACTTTTTGGATATGGGCATCTAAATCATATTGTGGTTTTATATTGGTTAAGAAAAACATTTTGAATTCCTTTAAAAAAATACACATTAGAAACGTGGCTATTTCTGTGTCTCAAGTCGATTGATCCCAAAATGAGAGAGAAGCTCATCGTATTTTAGACTTTAATACGATTCCAGGAGCCACTTCAAAGATTTTCAAGATATCATTTTTTCCTTCTTTTTTTTTTGCAAGAGAAGATATCATTTTGAAGAACATTTTGCAGCACACATGAAATTTTGCAAAACATGGTGAAAATTACTCATGACAGACCGCGCCGCTAATTGCAGTCTTAACATGACAAAATTCAACAGTCTGAAGTACTATATACATGATGTTTAGTTTGAAGAAATGACAAAATTATGGGAAAAGGCTATAAGAAATGGTGCCAGTGTGTGCACCGGTGTTGGGTGGTCCACTAGCCCCTGATGACAGCATAACCACCGTTTAATTAGGGTTTGGTCCCTGAATAATGAAATATATAACCATGGACTAAGACACTAGTAAAGCATAGCTGTTGTGCATCACACTGCTCACCTGCTTGTGATTTATTCCATGGATCATGGGGGGTGAGCTGATGCTTTCTTCCAGCACTGTTCACTGTTCTACTCAATTGGTAGCAATGTAGCAATGTCTTCTCATGTGGAATGGTCATCTTCACCAGCTTCTTGGTTTGTTGAGCATGTCTGGTTGGTCACATCAACTTGCCATGAGTTTGTTATCTTTAAACCAAAAAAAAAACTTGCTATGATTATGTCAAAACAAACTTGCTATAATTGGCTTAATTTATTTCTTGAGATGAATACCAAATATTCATTTTTTTTGGATGATCCACTCAATTTTTCTTTGATTTTGACTGGTGAAAATTCACTGGCTTTGATCAAACATAAAGAAGGATAGACTCAATTTTTAGAATTTTTCTTTCATTTTTTTTTGTAAGATGAGAAGAATGTGTTCTTGTAGAAGAACTATGTGAATGAATGGTGGCATATGGATAGAGGTGGATGTACAGTTTCAGAGTTTTACTGTAGAGAATCTTCCATAATTCGCACATGATCACAAAGATCAGTCCATATGTGATGAGGATATTGTCAAGTGAGGCACTAGACCAATGATAGGGGTTTACCCTACCCATGCATATCCAGCTTGCACCCATTAAATCCAATTAAATGATGAGCCGTTTGATTGACTAAAATTTTTTGTTTCTTTGCAAATTTAACTGATCTAAATCTTTTCATTGGTGTGATTGAAAAGATGTCTCCGTTGTCTTTATTCCATTGCAATGGTACATTTGAACCAATCAGCACTTAAAACCTCCATCATGTTCCAATTACTCCAATTCTACTCCCATCAGTTCTTTTTGACAATATATGGAATTTAATTCCTGCTCATAACATAGTATGTCCGTTTTTGCAATGAATTATGCACAAAATTATATTCTATGTATGAGTATAGAGTACATTACTCAAGGTATTCACTTACCTTGACAGCTGATCATTCAGTCATCTTGCTTGTAAATACATTGAATGAGTACGTATGGGAAAGCAACTTAGTCAGCGTTTAAAGTGAACTGAAGAAGTCACTGTTAAGTCCCAATCAAGTTCTAGTTTGTAGTTTATACACAAAAAAAAAGATGAATACTAATGTATGAAGCATCTGCAGAAACACGCCACTGAAGCACTGACCATCAGAACAGACCAACAAATGCTTAGTTTTCCCTAATTCATATCATCAGATGCCATCATAAATGATAGAACTTATTACTGTTGTTTCAACCATAGTTTTCCAGTGACATGGATGAAAATGGATTTCTAACATTACAATGCTGAGGCACATCAAATACACTAGGTTTACAACATGCAAGAGCAGTATATGGTCCTTTTGGTTCAGGGATGTAAATCTAATCTACCATATCCAAACTGTTGCTTCAATCAATCAAAGTCAGTATAAGCTTCCTGAGCGACGTGGGTTCGATTCTGGCCTGATGGGTTCACCGGTGTAGGGATCAAACTTGTATGGTTCCCCTGTGAATGGATCAAACCTTACTTGTTGGCGAGCAGTAGAGTATTCAGCAGATGACCTGGAGCTGAATTCTGGGACTATGTTTGTGTTGTACCTTGAAGCAGATAAGTATCCTCCTTCCCTAGATGAAAAAGCTACTTGAGCTGATCTCTCAATATTCGAATTCCGTTCTTGTACGTACCCTAGATCGAGATGCCTTCCAGTATCCTGTCTTGGTTCATGTGCAAATCTTGGTTCTGGATATCTTTCAATGCGGACTATTTCCTCTTGCCGTGATCTTGAATCTGGATATCTTACAAGATCAGGTCTGTATTCATCATACCTTCTATTCCTTGACTGAGATGATGCGGGATCATCCACATAAGATGAGGAAGGATAATCACCTAAGGAACTGTATCTACTACTCCTGCAAGTAAAACATAGATCAATGGTGCCAGGCTCAAAGTTTACACAGATGTAGAACAGTTGAAAATAAAATTTTCATTGTCCTAGAAAAAAAATAGTTTACCCGGATGCTGTGTACTCGTAATCTTGATGTGGGAATCTCTTGTTCTGTATTTCAGGATTTCTTGGCAAATAAGTAGAACCCTGCAATCTTAGTGCTGAGCTAAATGTCTCAGCCTGGTACTGCAAATGAAAAGGGGACAAATTGTACACATCAATCAAAAAAACACTAAAAAGGTGAAATATTGAATCAGGTAGGTAGTAAAAACCTTAGCAATTAATGAAGCGAAATAGTCTCCTTTATTGTGTTTATCTGCACCTGATATCAAAAACTGCGAGCAGGAATAATCATCAGAATAATGAATGCCATTTTTAGCTAAGCATAATGATATGGTAGAACAGGTCAGATCTCAGAGTCAGAGATCATGTGCATGAAACAACTCCATACCTGATTAAGGACAGCAACTGCAGCCTTTTCAGGAAGTTCATTAAGACTCCTTATGCAATGAATGTCTATCTGAAAAAGTAAAATGGACAGGCAGACCATGTTTTACACACCCAAAAAAGGCACAAGTAGAGACCTTATGTACAGATTACTTACATCATATCGAGTGCCAATTCTAAGACGTAGAATACGAAGTAGGAGTTCCTTGACGGCTGAAGGTAGTGAAACAACAGCTGCTTCATAGGGGTCCGTATCAGACACCTGCAAAAAAGAAAATTGGCAGAAAAGGGTTATCATGTCAACAAACATGGCGTTCCTTATTGAATTATATGCAATTTATTCCTTCGACTAAGCATTCATATAAAATCCAGAACTACAAAGGACAGAAAAATTGCTGATTCAACTGTTTGAAGCTGGAATAGGTTGTGCCATGCTTTTGAAGTGAACTAAAAAAATTGTTGAGTTCATAGAAACCGGTACAAATAACAAATCCTACAGAACAAACTAAAACATAGTCTAGTTTATACAAACTGATAAAAAACTACAGAATGAACCTTGTGACATCACAGACTAATAAAACAGTGGACTGAAGTGCGAGAGTAAATGGTTAACTCTGATTTGACCCTTTCAGGGCACAATGAAGGAGCTTATCATTCGTATGTAGTACCTCATTATATAGCCTTGGAGCTTTTGCTTGACGATCATATGAATCATGTCCACGTCTTCCATAAGAATGGTCCGGCTTGTCTGTTGATACGTTTGATCTTCTAGTTTTCACTTCTTCACGAATTCTCTTTTTATCGTTCTCTACCACAGGCCGAGCAACTGAGACCTATTGCAATAAACAGGGATGTCAAATCCAATAGTACAAAAGTAAAATAAGCAATAAGAATCTATAAGTTGCTCCACAGAAATAACATTCTTATTCATGCCTGGATCCTGAAAGTTGCCCCTCGGTCAGGTCCTCTCACTGTTTCACCATCCATTTCTTTTATTGCATTGTCGAGCTCCTTCCATCAACAAAAAAAGATAATGACAACAACTTGTATGAGAGTTCAACCTATAAAACTCAATAGGATTAAAACAACATGTACAAATACTTACTGTACGACTGGCAAAGTGGACAAATCCAACTGGATATTGTCCTTTCCTTGAGACTGCAACCCGTACTACCTAATTAAACATTAATGCTTTACTTTTCAGATTTATTTAATATTTCAAATAAAACTGGTGAACGCACACATTTGGCTGCCACATTGGCGCATAACAGACCTCTCCACAATGTTCAAAAAGCTTTCTTAAATACTCCTCTGTAACATTTGCTGGTAAATTTCCAACGAAAGCTGTCTTAACCTGGATATAGACGAAATGAAAACATATCAAGATAGAAAATATCTATATCTATATCTATATCAATAAAAAAAAGTGTTTGTCATTTACATTACCTTGGCCATTTCGTCCTCATCTACATGAGACTCCTTCTCAGCCCAATTTATTGAAGGATGCAATCCACCAAGCAGAAAATCTGTTCTGGAACCAATACGAAGTACGCGTGCTGCAGCCTGTGATCGATAGTTTTAGGAGGAAAGAAATCAAAGGAGGATGATCGATTCAGAAACCATAGACCCAAGAACACCTTCTCCATGATGATATCAGATACTTGTCCTTTGCTCATGTATCAGTGACATAACCTCAGATCAGTGATGAACCAAGATAAAAGGCACATAGACATAAATGTGTCTTGGAACTGGCAGATATGAATCTACGATTAATGTCAGAGGTGAAACTCCAGCAGAGTAAGTACAACGTCAGCTCAAGATTGTGAGCACTATAATGGTGTGCTAAGAGAATCAATGGATCTATTTATTACTGCCTCCAAATGGTAAAGTTGTACCTTTACAGGAATTTGGTCAAATTACAAGGGGAATGGTGATGGCCGATGGGGGGATTGATCGCTGTTCATGGCAGCTTTCATAATATAAGGAGGCACAAAAGTGATTCAACATAATTTGTGCAAATGAGGTGAAATGCTGAGTTCTGTATTCTTATTTGAACAAGATTTCTCTGACACTTGTCAGGCTAAACATTGGAACAATGTTAGCTATTAATTGCTGTGTGTTTTTGAAACCTGCTCTGTTCAGAGGTTTCTGGATAAATACAATAGCAACTAAGGCAGTAAAAACATTCATCAAGGGATGCAAATCCCATGAACTTTATATATACTGTCAAAAGATAATGATCAGATCTTAGAGGCAAAGTATTTGATCTCTGGACAAAATGAAGAATAAAAAAACTTTCATGAAGTTAAATAGTTTTACTGGATTTTGGTGAAACCACCTCTTCAACTGGATATGCTAAACATAAGATTCCTAAGTCCTTCCTCTACAAAAGTGACATGACAAATCCTACAGAACTGGTATCAGGAGAAAATTGTTATGTAGTTTTGCATACCATTGCTAATGAGAAAAGCGTATATGATAAAAAAAGAGTAGTATAGCTATAGTAGCATGAATTGGAGTTAGGCCACTAGAAATGGATAGTTCAGAACTTAAGGTACCAGGAGCCAACAAACTTGGTGTCACTAAAATTGCCAAGGTGACTGTGACCCCATAAATTGAGATTTTCTTTACTAACAGAAAACTTCAGAATGTTGCAGATCAGAAAAGGAGAGCAGACAGATATTCTTTCGCTCATCTTGTTAAACTATAATCCCATGAAATTGCCTCACCAGATATAGAAATTGTCACTATGGGCCATCTATTGAATAAGGGAGGTTATGGATTCACATAAAAATGAAAGCTCACCAATAATCACCATAGCTTTATCCTATGATTTGTAAATGAATTTCAGTAACGGACAGAATCCTTGTGAAGATTGGGGATGGATGTGAGATAGAATATGCATGAGATGGAATTATAGAAAATCTGGCAAGCAATATAATACCAGTCTATACTTCTTTTTCTTAACAAGTGTGCCCAACAATTGATTCTAGGGGATATTGAATATGATCGACTCCTTCAGAAGTATAAAACTATTTGTTTTCTTTTTCATGGTTACACAAATCAACAATGCAATGTTTCCATTTCCATATGAAAACTAACCATAGAAGATGCCCTTTGCAACACCAATCAGTCATTTAAAAGATCAGATGATAAAAGTGCATTCCATTACGTCATAACCAACACTGAGTAAAAGATATGGATTGATTTTCTTGTCAGTAGATGATAAGGATATGTTGGTAACATTGTGACAATGCACCATCATCTGGCCCCTCATCTCATAAAGGAGACAAAATTACTTAGATATGCAATTACTTGATAATGCGCTTCTTTTGTAGCAGATAGATTTAAGGCACACCACAAAAGGATAGAATCATTCATCAGGAATCCAGGAGAAGAGAAAGAAGCTAACTTTATACATATCCCTATATTTCAGTCAGATGGTTTTATCCAATAAAGATTGTTTTAAGACAAGAGGCTATATATTGGTCAATACCTGCAAGATAAACCAATTGGCAAGGGTTTGGTAAACTATAAGTAAACTTGGAATTAAGAAAATAATGATAAAAAGGCATAGCTAAGTTTGGCGCAACAAAATATGACAAAGGAAAGCTGAATTACTGCACTTAAATGTAAAGAAAAAGATAAATCAAACAGAAAATGAATGATTAAAGGAGGTTTAAGTATAACCATCAATAATATAAGGTCAACATTTCCATCGTAGAATCCAATGGGTGATGGAATTAACAAAAATAAGGAATAAGACTTACTGCATGAGAAGAAAATCGCACAAATGCAAAGCCTCGATTTAGACGTCTTTTCCCAACTGAAGAGTCATGGTTTCGAGCCATTGCAAGGTCAACCGAAACAACATCTTCTAATGCCTATAGATCAAAGAGCACTGTAAAGCTGACCATGTAATTCCCAGTATTGTTCTTTTAAAAAAAGATGGAAACAAAAGGACTCAATCATGTTTTCACTGTTAAGAATATATATGTATTAGTGTGTATGTGTTAAGGGGTATTTCTGTCTTTTCACGTTGTATTCATCTCATATTAGCCCTAAGGGCCAACTCAATGAATAAATAGTTAAATCCCCAATTCACTCACTGATTTTGACATGGTATCAGAGCAGAGATCCTAACCCTAGCCTCAATCCGACGTCCTCCCCGGTGCGCCGGCGGCGGACGCCGCCGCAGGCAGCCACACCATCAAGCCGTCAGCTCTGTCAAGATGCATTAGCTTCTCGTCATCGTCCCATTCATCTTCAAGTAGCAGCCAGTAGCAGCAGCCAGCAGCAGATCGTCTAGACATTGACTACCTCATCCCACCGCTAGTCGCGGCCGCCGTATCCTCTGCCGGCGGGCAAACCGTCGTCGTCGGCCGTCGCAGCCTCGCCGCCTCAATCACTGGTCTCGTCCTTTCATCACCACTCGCAGTATTCGTCAAGCAAACCAACAGCAGCAGCCCTGCTTTCGTCGTCTTCAAGCAGCAAATCATTAAGAAGCAGCAGCCATTGAGCTAGTTGCAGACTTGCAGCAGCATGTGTCAGCAGCAGCAAGTCATCTTGATCCATTTCATCCTCAAGCAGCTGAGGAAACTCCTCTGCTTTCTTCTACATTCTCACCAAATCTAAGTGGATCTGTTGCATTTAGGCTTCAGTTTGAGCCTCTGCTTGTTGTCCTGGAACTCCATTTTGTGCACTATCATCAACATCCTTTGTTTCCTATCCTATATTTTGCTAGTATCAGATTGCCATGCTATAAGCTTGATTGCTCATCATCATTTTGTGCACTGCTAGCTCCTTGATTTATACCTAAGATCAGTTGGCACAAGTTCTAAAACCTCCCGCATCATGCTTCTATCATGTGCTGCAACACAGCAATAGCATAAACCAGTGGATTACTTGGGATATTTCTAATTGAAATTGGCTTCTTGATTAGTAGATGATCTTCAACCTTTAGTTCGAAATGGTTCTCTTCCATTGATATGCCATGATTTGGATGAAGCATCTAGGGTCTCAGTCTCACAGTCCTACCCACAAAGAGTAGTGTTGATTTGTTAGCCTCTAATCGTATTCCATCAACAGATCTACTTTTTTCTTCTACATTTGCTATGTTTGCTTGCTGCTGCCATCAACAATTCTACTAATCTCCTTAGGCCTATTGATATACTATGTTGTCATATTTCCTTTACAATCCTTTTGAGTCCATCCAAATATTTCCTTTACAATCCTTTTGAGTCCATCCAAATCCAATACACAACAATTCGTTGAAGCGTGCTAATCTATCTTCATCACTAGTTCCCCACTGGAGCTGGTTTATCACACCACATCATCTGCATTGTCAACTCCCCATCGGAGTTATCATCTCCAACTTCACCAGCTCCATATCGGAGTTGGACATCGTCATCAGTCAAGGACCGAAGAACAATTTGTAAAGGTCCATTATCATCACCATCAACATCTCTAAATCTACAAAGGTCTGAAGAACAGTTTGTGAAGGACCTTCATCCTCTTCATCATCATATCCACATCTCCGAATCAGTGATTGGCCGAAGAACGGTTCGTGAAGGCTTTAAGGTACCAAAGGAGCTGAAGAACAGTTTGTGAAGGCTCCAAGGTCCTCTTCATTGAGGAAGGGATGGATTTCCATCTTCATCATCATTCTAGAGTTGCACGATTCGACAACATCTTCAAGCATGGACTGTGGATTTATTCTAGTGTGTCATTAATCTAGTATTTAGTTTCAAATGCAATGTTGCATATACATTGCATTTGAGTAGGGGTGTTAAGAATATATATGTATTAGTGTGTATGTGTTAAGGGGTATTTCTGTCTTTTCACGTTGTATTCATCTCATATTAGCCCTAAGGGCCAACTCAATGAATAAATAGTTAAATCCCCAATTCACTCACTGATTTTGACATTCACATCAACGCTGGTAGAGCATTCCCCAATGACCTATAAAGGCGCTAAAGGTCCTTATATTTTTCTCAAAGCAAGGCGCTACAGGTCTTACCTTGCGAATCAATTCTTCAAATTCTTCGATGCCCCAGTCTGACCAAAAAAGAGAACAAGTCCAAGAATTTAGAATGCTAACATGTGGATTTTGGTCTGGAAGTTTTGACAAACTAATATTCTAACAAAATATTAAGCAAAGAACAGCTGTTCACAATATAAATTGGAATGTGGTTACAAACTCCTACTCGGAACAAATTACATTATCCTGGTACTCTGGCTCAGCCTCAATGTTGATCCAACAAAACTAGGAAATGGAATTGGGATAGACAGGGGTAATGAAAGCAGCAACATGTGCATGTGAGATCATGGGACTGCAAAGTGCTAATAGATCGACATGTCGTACATTCTTTGAAAAACAAGGAAAAGAAGTGTGAACAAAGGAAATATGAAGCACAGATGTTAGATAGGTCAGACAGAATGGCTTTAGAAGTCATGTTGTTTTCTATCAACTACGGTGTCATGTTTTTTGTAACAAATTTTCTACATTGTGATACAAGAAGTCCATCATGGGTTAAGTTTACCTTTGCAAAGATTCCCAAAGAAGAGTGTATCTTGATCCAACGAAAGATCAACAGCAAGTCTCTTTCCTTGAAGCTGGCAGAGAACCAATAACATTACATGCATTAACTTCAGTAATGAAGCATAATAGTAATGCTGTTCAAAACATTTGCTCCCTAATAAATGAGAAAGCAAACAATCCTCTCTCTTTGAACACGATATCTAGGAAAATAGTACAAGGAAAGACAAAATAGGGAGCACTTGTAACTACATTGAGATATGAAGAAACTAGCCATACAGGCAAAATTATGGTTTCTGTAGGCACCGAAACAGGATGAAAACAAGGAAAGAATCAGTGAATTCAGCAGTGAAGAAACTAGACATAAAGATGAATCAGGTTTAACTAGACATTAACCAAACATAAAGATGAACTCAGCGGTGCAACTTGTAGTTATGAGCAATTTGTTTACAATTTTGCATAGATCATTAAAAGAGCTTCTCACGGCAATTTATAGTTTCTGTTGTCTTAGTCCAGCATAGCTTCAGAGAAAGAAATCTTGCAAAAGACAAGGCATCAAATACTTCCTAGCTACTATAAGAAATCTATTAAAACAAGGGATTTGAAAGCTTTTGGACATATGTATATATTATGTGCAATATGAAAAAAATGATAACATCGAACAAGAAGTTAGATATTCTTGCCTCAAAACCATTTATTTGCCTTTTAGCAATATAAGCACACTCCCTCTCCGCAAATCGCACAAAGCCATATCCCTGAAAGGATATCAGAAAAGTTAATGATGAATATACGAAAATAAGAAAGTATATATTGAAACTTACAAAATGTTGCATTAGTATCAGACCTTTGAAATGCCATTCTGATCTTTCATTATCCGCAAATCAACAATCTCTCCACAAGGAGAAAATACCTGTTGAGATTACACAGGTCAGTCCAAAGGACTAAGACAGACATGGCCAAGAAAATGAGAGAGAAATTTATTTTCATGTGAGTTAAGTATCAGCTAATCATGTTAGTTCCTTCAGAACTAAGTTTGATGGTAACAGGTATAGAGGTACAGCTAATGCACAATGGAGCAAGTGTAATAAAACTCAACACTGAAATACCAAATAGTTACCGACTCTAAACCATGCATAAATTATAAAAAGACTGTTTAATACAGATCATCAAGCTACATCCAAGAATTACAGAACATTGTACAACTTAGAACTTCACCACTACATTTGATTTGGATGGCATCTCCGACATAATACCCTCAGTTAAATGGGAGGCTCATAGGTTCATTTCAGCTTTTAACCTATTACCTGTCTCCTCCTTCAAGTGCAGAAAGGCAACCATTTTTTCCATTTCATTTTGGTTTTCTTGAGTAATACTCCCTCCGTTTCAAAATGTTTGACACCGTTGACTTTTTAGCACATGTTTTACCATTCGTCTTATTCAAAAAATTTGTGAAATATGTAAAACTATATGTGTACATGAAAGTATATTTAACAATGAATCAAATGATATGAAAAGAATAAATAATTACTTAATTTTTTTGAATAAGACGAATAGTCAAACACGTACTTAAAAAGTCAACGGTGTCAAACATTTTGAAACGGAGGGAGTATGAGGCAGTGCAATGCACAAGGTTATCAGCCAATAATTTATTTAACATTTACTATTCAAAAGCATCACGTCCACACAATCAAGCACACAAACAATTCAGGTATTTTCAACCATGCAGTACACTAGGCTAAAATTCACAACACCAATCAAACAACACAGTGACAGTTGCACATTCTACCGGCAGCGCGCAACTCTCGGAAGAACACCAACCTCTCGGAGCGCCCGCTCCGTCACCGACCGCGGCAACCCGCCGACGAACACCTCGGCGCCTTTCACCCGGCGATCTGCACACACACACCCCCCAACTCCTCAGGATTCATTCACCACGCAACGCAAGACTCGCTCGAGGTATCAAAGAGAAGAAACCCATCCAATAACCTTGCTCGTCGTAGTCGCCATGCGACGCCGCCCCCCTCTTCTCCTGAAATCCCCCACGAGCAACAAAAAAAAAAAGAGGCACAGGAAGGTCAAGACGCGATTTCTCCGACGAAATCCGCACCAAATCGGACGCGGCGGCGACCGGCCGGATCGCCGGCGCCGAATCCGCCGTCCCCAGGGCGGATTGAATCGAAAAAACAGGGAGGATTTCGCGGATTGAGTCTCGAGCACGCACCATTTACAGAGAGCACTGCAGTCTGCGCCGAGCCGTTCCAAAATTTTTTTTCATCAACGAATTATCCCTTTTGACTATATAGTGGGGCCCACATGTCAGAGAGCATAGATGGCCAGATGGGCCGGCCCAGTTCGAGCAAAGCGCTGAGCTGGGCCGTTCGGTAAACAGCGTCACGCAGACATATCCAGTTTTTTTTGTGTGTGTAATTTTCTCTTCTGAAAAGTTAAAAAAAAAATCTGTGCCAAATTTCAACGTTTGATTCACATAGTGCTTGTGAAAAATTAACAAAAAATGAGATGTTTCTGATTCAGATTGACAGGCGTTAGTTTGTTGAGGATTGCAGAATATGTCACAGATTGCTGTCGCTTCTGATGGTCAAAATCCACCCGGTTTCTTCAGTTAGGGGGTGTTTAGATCCTGGGTGTAAAGTTTTGGTGTGTCACATCGGGTATTATACAGGGTGTCGTATAGCGTTTTCGGCACTAATAAAAAACTAATTACAGAATCCGTCAGTAAACAGCGAGACAAATTTATTAAGCCTAATTAATCCGTTATTAACAAATGTTTACTGTAGCACCATATTGTCAAATCATGGAGCAATTAGGCTTAAAAGATTCGTCTTGCAAATTAGTCGCAATCTATGCAATTAGTTATTTTTTAGCCTATATTTAATGCTTTATGCAGGTGTTCAAACTTTCGATGTGATATGGTGTAAAATTTTTGTGTGGGAACTAAACAGGGTCTTAAAATATTTGGTTAAATTACAGTCCAAGATGCAGAAATAATCCATACTAGGAGGTTTCCATGATTCCATCTTTCAAATATGAGATTATCGCTTGTCACATTTCAAATTATCTGTAGTACATTGAAAGAGCTTTCCCTCCAGAATGGACACTGCAATAAACTTCATCAATAACTCTCCATGTGCAGCGCTGAGCATTTGTTTGTCAACCTGTTTTTTTTTACTTTTATCTACTCATCACAGTAACAATGTTCTTCATGCTAAATTGCGTAACATTTCCCAAGTTTGTGTAAACTACAAGAAATCGATACGAGTATCGACACAGTGACCAAAACATGTCCGATTTTTTGTTTTTCTACACATTTGAATCAACATTTTACATCATCAATCAGCAGTTTCCCTGAATTCAGAGATGTTTGATGACAGCAAATGACTATGTAACAGTAAACGATGAATCACATAAGCAAAACAGTAAATAGATATGTAACAGCGATGACGATTACTGCCATTCTCTTGTGGAGATAGGAGGAAATGGTGAATCTCTGAAGGCATCAAATCAAGTCTTGGAATTGCTCCTAGTTAGCCTTGGGTGAAATTTTGGCTCTCTGGGAACTGTTTGAGGTTTCACTGACCTGGATTTGCAATGAAAACAAAATATCTGAATTCATTTGAAATGTAACAGCAAGATTTTATATTTACAAATAACAGAAACCTTAAAAGTTTCAGTTACCTTTTCGGCACAAACGGCTTGGAAAAATCCGGCATTGGATGCGCTCTTGGCACCTGCTCCTTCCTCAGCTGCTTAATCTCAAGCTCTTCATCCAGCTGCACACAAATTTCATAACTCAAATTCTTACATTAAAATCATTTTTGTGAAACATGATTTTCAGATTTGCATCTGAATTCAGAGTTTTTGATCTGTGATTCTCTGAATTGCAAGGTGTACCTTTTGCTGCCTCTCCCTCTCCATGTTCAGTTTCTCCAGGAAGCTGTTACGTTCGGCCACCTGCAGGATTGAAGATAAACCGTCAAGACGTTTAGGAACTCGTCGAGGGCGATCTAGCATTACAAAATTTACTACTCACTTGGTGATCGAACCTGGCGCGACCGACAGAGCGAATCTCGCTATGTAGCACAACATCAATCGGTTCAGTGGGCTCTTTCCCCAGAGGTTTCACTGGGTTCTACATAGAATCAACAACATGATCAACACTTGCAATGTCAGGAATTATGTTCACATAGACCGAACTGTTCTGGTGTGCTGGTTGTATTTCTTTTATCTCATCATTCTGTATATTTTTTTTACCTATCTGAAATGTTCATTCACTGATCTAGCAATGTTACAATTTTTTTTAGCAATCTAGCAATGTAACTGAACATGATGAACTGTAAGTTTCTCCAAAGATAGGTGATGTAATGTACCTCAGGTACATCAGTGGTCCATGGGAGACCTTGCGCGACCGGGTTGCGCAGCCTCTCTTCCTCCAGCAGCTTGTTCTTCATTCTCTGAACCAAGCTCTCCTCTTTCATCTTCCCTCTTCTCTGAAACCAAACACAAAAATTCAGTTAAATTTCTTCAATTCAGTCATCAACTCATCATGCATCATGTATAATTCTCGGCAAAACACAGAACAAACTTGAATACTACACCATCTTCGAGATGTATGTGGCAAAAAACGACGCATTCTTTTAACATAGAAACAAACGCATTGGAAAATTTGTTGTTTTTTCAGGACATTATGGATGAACAAGTTTAACATTATTTGTGTATTTGTTCATACTACCTCGGTCCTGAGATTGAAAGGACGCTGGATTGTCACGCCTATCTTCTTCCTACTCCAGCTCCTCTCCGACGAACAGATGCTCTGTCACCACGAACAAGATGAGAACTCAAACCAAAAATCACTACAAATTTCATCTAAAATTCAACCAAACAGAATCCAGTTATTTCTGAATTTACGCAAACTCACGCTGCATCTCTTCTGCCTCCTGGGTGGTTCATCTCGTGCGATGCTTCTCCTGAAGAATTTCAAGCAGAGGAAGAAATTGTGAGCAACCAGAATCAAGAACAGCAAGAAATGGTTGCAGCTGGGGAAGAAAATTATCAGCAAAGAAGCCAAGAACCTGAGCACGACACCGTTGATGGGGAAGGAGACCTCGGAGGAGGAGGCGATGGAGGGGTACGACACGTCGATCTCGTCCGCTCTCGTCGTCGTCGGAGTCGGAGTCGGCGGCGGCGGCCACGAGGAGCCCGTCTTCCTCGCCACCGGCGTCTTCTTCTTCCTCCTCCTCCTGCTCTGCTCCCCCGGGTCGCTGGAGAGCGAGAGGAGCCTCTCGAACGTGTCGACCAGGTACCTCACGCGGCCGTCGCCGTGCTCCGGGAGCCCCGCCATGGCCTCCCGCAGCGCCACGCTCCTCCTCGTCCTCGTCCTCGTCCTCGTCCTCGTCCTCTTCTTCCCCGACGACCCCTCCTCCTCCTCGCCACCGTCGTCGGGAGACGACAGCCTGGCCCTGATCCTCTCCCGCTCCTCCGATCGGTCCCACAGCGGCGCCCGCGGCGCGTCGTACGCCGCCGCCGCCGCCGCCGCCACCGGAGTCGCACGTCTTGGCGTCCTCGCCGAGCCCTTCTTGGCCGCCGGCTTCCCGAACCGACGAACGCACTGCGAGAACGACATCGCCTCGCCCTCGACGTTCTCCCGATTCCTCCCCGCCGACGGCGGCGGCGGCGCCGCCGCCGCCAACACGGCGAACGGCCGCCTCGCCCTGGCCCTCCTCATCATCACCGGCGTAGTCATCATCTCACCAACCAAAACCTTCGAACACGATCGAATCGAATCGAAAATCCTTCGAACGAGCGAGCAACGCGGAATTCAGTTTTGATTTCGCGAGTGAAAATTCGATTCGAAATTCGCCGAGACGAATCGAACCAAAATTTATAGAGGAGAAGAAGAGTAACGTAAAAAATGGCGGCGCCAGCGGAGGAGGGAGCAGCAACGGCTAGTTTTTTTATTATTATTATTTTCTCTCCATCGGCTGTGAATTTTCTCGGCCGTTGGATCATAAGGCGGTGGTGATGCTGGGCAATGGTGTCCGTCCGATTGGAAGGGGGAGTGGAATTGTGGGGATTTTTTTTATTATCATGGGGTTTAATTTCTGTAGATCTTATCTTGAATTTCTTCTTTTCAATTGTAACTGATTACTGCTAAAGATTGTGAGTTATACTTTGGAAGAATCAGATTTAATGTTCACCCATTTGATTTGATATGGTATTCTTTTTATATAGTCTAATTTAATATTCATATTTAGGAAAAAGAAAACTATATATATCTTCTCATTGGTTTTTGTTATCTATGAAAGATTAGCAGGTGGGATGGCCATTGAAATGGGGTAAAAACTACTATTGGGTGGCAGTAACTTATTTTCGAAGTAGGTAAGAACCAAGTTCTTAGTATTAGATTAGAAAGATTGTGAGAGGTTAAAATCACTTGGATTTCCATTTTGTAGTTTAACCTGCACATATATAGTTTGCACGTCATATTTTTATCTTGCTACCGTCTAATACATATTCCGACACACAAAAACTTTTGTGTGTTAGGAAAAAGTTTAGTTTTCATATCCTCTAATTTGAATATGAGTATAAAACTCCCCGATCAAGATAGTCACAAATCGCAAGTATATACGTTGTTAGAATAGGCGTTGAATATATTTTAATAGTAATTGATGTGGTAACAGCGGCATGGGAGAGTTAAACAATAGGCTTATAACTGACAAACTCTAAGGGATAAATGTAACCATGGTGATAACAATTAATACGACACATGCATACAAGGGGAGCATGGCGGTGTGGCTATGGAACTGTAGTCGCTAGCGGCTGGTGTAATGTTGATTAGAAAGGAGTGCTTGTAATCAAAACCCTAGAAGTGTAGGTTACAACTAAACCTTGTTAGTGAATATCATGTGTTACTTTATTGTCATCTGACGTATCTGAGTTGATCAAAACGACATTACGTTATTATGTAATTTTGCGAATGGGCGTTTAGCTTAGTAGTTTGTAATGCCTTAGTAGCACTCGGTGACAGGAGCGAGTTTTAGGGGCACGGTTAAAAAATATCCCCCTCACCATTATATTTAGTGAAATACATGGTTGTTGACCGAAAACATGGACAAGATTCAATCTCCTTCTTCAATATCTAACTCCAAATCCGAGTATATATATATCTCGCCAGATTTCGCTGTTAACAATGGTCCACTAGCCGTTAAACCGTGTGGTACACAGCCACATGCTTACCTTGACAGTTATTTTGACACGTCCTGGTGGTGCGTTTTAAACCAAACCCGAAATCGCTGAAATTTTATACTCAACCATCCCAAAATATAACAACTTTTATCCTTAAGGATTTGTCCCAAAATATAACAACTTCTCCATCAGCATTCTCTTTCCAACCAATCACAACCCTTCACCATTCACCCGTACCTATTTTCTTAATAACCGTGTCCAACTCTAAAACTTATTATATTTTAGGACGGAGGGAGTACAAAACAACTATTGCTAGGGTTATAAACTAGCGTAAAATTTGTAACTTGAGTGAAAATTTTGGCTTAACTTTCTGCTCTATCATACGAAATGTCACACTGTTTTGTGCGTGTTGTTTTTTTTTTTAAAAAAAGAAAAAATGGCTTAGTCACTGTCGAAATGGAAGATGCCCATCCTGTTCTCTTCGCCGCTACAGAAAGAAGGTCCCACTCACAGTCTCAGCCCTTGTCCCACTGCAGGTGGGCCACCCGAATCAGGCAACAAATAAACTAATCCCACCCCCACCCAAAAAGCGAACGCGCGTCCCCATCCAATCCAATCCAGCCCGTCCACTCCCACACCAACGGTCGCGATGTGTCTCTGGTGACGTGGCATCGGACATCCGAGGCCCCCACACCCGGGCGTAATTAACCCCCCTAATCCCATTTAATCAGCACAGCTTCTTAATTACTCCACCTTAATTAATCGATTAATTAATCAATTAATTTAATTACAGCATCTGCAACTTTCGCCTTCTTCCCGCAGCATCGAAGCGGAGGAGGGGAAAGGAAGGCGAGAGAGAGAGAGAGAGAGAGGAGAGGAGAGGAGCGCGTTGCGAAGGCTCTCGAATCGAGCGCGGCAATGCGAGAGAGCGGTTCTTGAGCCCCCGCGATTCGATTCTTCCGGTGCAAAGGTGAGATCTCTCGGTTCTACGGTTTGCGTTTTTCTTGTTTTATTTACGTTTTGGAGGAAGAAAGAATCGGATTCTTTTCGATGGATGGTGCGATCTGCTTGCTAGGGTTTTCTTGGATGATTTGGGATGGATGCGTGCGCGTGTAAGCGATGGTTAGGGGGGCGTTAGGATGTGATTATATGCTCGGGATGGGGGGAGTGGTAGTGGAGGAGGAGGCTCTGATTAGGGTTCTTGCTTAAGCCGAGTGGGTTCTCGGCGAAAGGTTAGTGTTCTGGGGTTAGTTTTCTTACCTTCGTTAGGATTGTAGCGAGATTTTGAGCTGTTGAACAAACGCTTAAAAATTCAGAGATCACACTACCCTCAGAAATGGAACATACTGCTGAAGTGAGAAACCGGCTCTCTCTCCAACCACAGAATCACAGATTAGTCATGTTCATTTTTTTGTCCATCTTGTTTGAATCCGGTACAAACCTTGAGACCGTGTTCATTCTGTTAAAACATGGTTCAAATCTGTGTATCGTTTGGGTTTAGAAATATTAGAAAATCCTAAATCTGTTTATTTCAGTTGAAGAAAATAAATGTGAAAGTTCAATTCCTTTTCAAAATTTGGAATATAAACACAGATAAGCATGTACAAGAATCTGAGTTATTGAAAATGAACATGCATTTTTTAACGTATTTCAGACATCAGTCCATACCTGTAATTCTTTAAAAGCTAGGCTGCCAAAAAGATTTTAGTTGCTTTTCATAAATCACATAATCTCTGGGTGCTTTCAGCCATAAGATGGAAAGGCTGTTTTCCAAGAATTCTAAGCCCATAAAAAGTGGGTGTTAATTTTTGCACATTATAATCAGCAGTAACACTACAAGTGAAGTAACAGTCAACATGTTAACGATACATTTATGGCCGAATACCAAGTTTTGCGGTGTTATCAGTACATATCTAACTACTGTTGTATATTTAGCCAGAATTTTTTTTTTAACAACATAGAATCACCTGTTCTATGCCAATGAATTTCTCAAAATTAACTTCTGCTCATCATCATATGACCACATTGCAGAATGTACAAGATGATGTATCCTAGCTGGAATGACATTTCAGTGTACATATCTGAGTATTGGTCTGTTATAATTGCTACAGTCATTTTTGCATCTGTTACTGGTGTGACAATTTATTATACTGTCAATCAATTGAACAAAAACATCAGCTTGAGTTTGATGAAAGCTATCAGAGCTAGGGCAAGGAAGTACAAGAAATTGAAAGATAAGGTCCCTGCCTCTTCCCACATTTGGAGAAAAGAACTTGGCTCTCGTAGTAAAGGTCTGAAATGCTGTGTATGCTTGAAGTCTGTTTCATCTCCGCAGTATATGGGGGGAGTTATCCATCAGTGTGATATTTGTGGTGCCACTGCACATCCTAGTTGCTCAGGAAATGCGCACAAAGATTGCAAATGTGTTTCTATGGTTGGTTTTGAACATGTCATTCATCAGTGGGCTGTACAGTGGATTGACACATCGGATCGCTCTGAGGAGGATTCTTTCTGCTGCTATTGTGATGAATCTTGCAATGGAGCTTTCCTCGCAGGTTCTCCAATTTGGTACTGTATGTGGTGCCAACGGCTAGTGCATGTTGATTGTCACAACAACCTATCTATAGAAACTGGTGATATCTGTGACTTGGGCCCCTTGAAGCGGCTAATATTGTCACCTCTTTGTGTTAAGGAGCTCCATTGGACAGGTGCAGCAGGACTTATCAGTTCTATAACACATGGGGCTAATGAATTGGCTTCCAATGTCCGAGAGAGGATCAGGAGTCGCGGTAAAAAGTACAGAAAGGGTACCATTTCTGTTGATTCAGATAGCTCTGGTACTATTGACCCGCCATCTGATATTGAAGGAGATTCACAAGAAACAAACAATGCAGCTAAAAGGAGAGAGGATCATGCCAATGGTGAACTTCCTGAAGTACATGAAAGCTCTGAATCAGAGAATGATAAACAGCTGTTGACAGAAAACAAAACTAGCATACCGAACGGCCAACATGAGGATTCACACGTACACAATAATCAGAAATATGAAATCGTGGATGTGCCTTCTGATTCTAGGCCATTGCTAGTGTTTATTAACAAGAGAAGTGGAGCACAGTGTGGTGATTCACTGAGACAACGTTTGCAGATCCTTCTTAATCCTATCCAGGTTGGGAAGCAAGTAGCTACTTAAAATCTTTTATCAGCTTCAAACTATGCGTACTCTTTGAATTTTCTATTACATATGCCTCCTCAATCTTTGTTGCTGTGTAGTAGACTTTCATAAGTCACATATCCTTGAACTTTTTTTTTTGGGTTGGGTGTCCCATCTTTGATTTATCTAAAACGCTCTGCTATGTTTCTGTCCACTTCCTGGCACCTGGCTGTAGTTAGATTAGAGCTCTTAGTGCAAGGTGCCTACTTGAGCCCACAAACATCGGTTAATGCTCTACCTGATTTTTATGATAAACCTTGAGTCCATTTTTATGATACTATCTGATTTTTACAGGTTTTTGAGCTGGGTAAACAGCAAGGACCAGAAGTTGGTTTGACTTTGTTTAGGAAGGTACCCCACTTCAGAGTTCTTGTTTGTGGTGGAGATGGCACCGTTGCTTGGGTCCTGGATGCCATTGAGAAACAGAAGTTTGAAGCTCCACCACCTGTGGCCATCCTTCCAGCTGGTACTGGTAATGATCTTGCCAGGGTTTTGTCTTGGGGTGGTGGTCTCGGAATTGTTGAGAAACAGGGAGGTCTGTTCTCTGTTTTAAAAGATGTCGAGCATGCAGCAGTTACTGTTCTTGATAGATGGAAGATCACAATAAAAGACAACCAAGGGAAGCTTATGTCACAACCAAAATATATGAACAACTACTTTGGTATGTCCATGCAACTTCTTAGCTTTGATTCTCAAACGATTATTTCATAGACTGATGAACCTTTTATACTGATGTTCTTCAGGGGTTGGCTGTGATGCAAAGGTTGCTTTAGATATCCACAATCTGAGGGAGGAAAACCCTGAACGTTTTTATAGTCAGGTAAACCCAGCTTGTTCCTACGAAGTCACTTCTCCTTCTTATTCTCATATGCACCATTTACTTCTCCTTGTTTGACTGGTCAGTTCAATATTTTTCCAGAAGAACAATATATTTGGGGAACCTTAGGTTTTTAGGTAATGGAACAAATATTCTGTCCGCTGCCATAGTGATGTATGAAGTAGAAAATGTCAACTCGACACGAAGCATATTGTTATTTGCTAACTCTATGTGTGCTTGTTGAATAACTCCATGACAGCCCGTTCCAAAGTGCAGCTCATCACAATAGTTGTGTGCCACTTGGGGAACCTTAGGTGCTGTATCATTGTTGAACGCGCAGCATCTTCTCTGTTTAGAAGTGTTAGTATGACCTATGGTAGAAGAGTTTGAAATATATCACATGCACCATTTACTGTCTGATGGCACACTGATCTTAAAAAGAAACATGAAGTGCTTGTGTAGTTGAGGAAACTGTGCAAGAATGCAAGATAGACCTTACAGGCATATATGTTGGCACACATATCTATTGCACCAATAAAATCCTTACTGTGGTACTGTACTCTAAATCTGTTGAAAGAAAATAATTAATGAGGAATCATGAGACCAAGATTTTCATTATGTTGAGATTCACAAGGATTATTTTTTTACATACTACTCTCTCTGTTCCCAAAAAACTAACTTCTGGTTATGTAGTAGTTTCTTTCTAGGATGGAGGGAGTATATTGCTAGTTTGTGGAAAAATGAGCTTTTTTATTCTCATATGTTTATTTTATTTTTCTTTGATCACTTGATAAACTTAAATTCCCCAATAATAAACATCAAATGGTAATCAGATTCACACATTCCATGCCTATCTGATTTCTATCTTCTTATTCTGCGCTGTGTTTGCAAATCTGGTTCTGACAGTAATGGTATACAATTTGTTTGTAGTTTATGAACAAGGTGCTTTATGCAAAAGAGGGAGCAAAGAATATGATGGATAACACATTTGATTATTTTCCATGGGATGTCAAGCTTGAGATAGATGGATCCAAAATTAATATTCCTCAGGTAAAGTGCATCAAATTGCTACTGTTCTTGCTTTCCCCTTTTTCTTCTCTCATTAAGCTAATAATTCCGCCTGTCTTCAAGGTAAAATGTGATGCCCAAGTGCACATGATATTGATAAATTATTTGAATGTAAGATAGTTACTGCAGTTTTATACTTGATCGATCATAGTGTCCAGTGTTCACAACTAGTAATCTTTTAGTGTAAAGTAGAAGCATGTCCTGATTATACCATGTAGGGGTGTTCATCTCTGGTTTCTTCAATCCGTTGAAAACCAGAGGTGGACAAGATTATGCCGTAATTAGCGATGATGGTGACTGAGCACACTGAAAAATTGCCTACGGTCGGTTTGAGCAGTTCCTAGGAAAAAAAGAACATAATGTACAGCCCTAATACCATGTAACATCCCTAAACTTTTGTTTTTCCACTGAAGGACTCTGAAGGTATCCTTGTTGCCAATATTCAGAGCTACATGGGAGGAGTTGACCTGTGGAAGAACGAGGATGATGTTTCTGACAATTTCCACCCTCAGTCAATGCATGACAAGATGCTAGAAGTAGTTAGCTTCACTGGAATGCTGCATCTTGGAAGGCTGCAGGTATGGATGAATATCTTGATTATTAAACTTCCTGGTCTTTGACATTTTTTTTCCATGTGGAATCACCTCTGGATAACATAACCTCGCTGTAGGTAGGGCTTTCTCGCGCGCAGAGGTTAGCTCAAGGTCATCATATAAAGATCGAGATCAAAACTAAAATGCCCATTCAAGTCGATGGAGAGCCTTGGTCGCAGGATCCATGCACCATAGTAGTTTCACATCACTGCCAGGTTCTTCTCATCCCCTTTACACATGTTACCGCTTGCCATTCTCCACACTTGCTCTTACGCCCCCATTTTTGAAGGCTTTCATGCTGAAGAGAGTCTCCGAAGAACCTATCGGCCATGCGGCCTCCATAATGGCCGACGTTCTGGAAAACGCCGAGAATAACGGCATCATCACAGCGTCGCAGAAGAGGACCCTCCTCCACGAAATAGCTTCTAGGCTTTTGTAGGGCATACTTCCACGTTGATTGGAGGCTTCTTTCTGAGCCCCTGCCAAACTGGACATGATCATTTGTACATACAAGCATGATTGTTTTTCCCCACTTTGATTGTGCTTGTGTATAGTTTGTAAATTTTTTGTAGAGCTCGTGAGATGAGAGCATAGGTGCTTAGAGCACTACCTGGACATAACTGGAAAGCAGTGGCTTTAGAGCTGAGAAATGTGATACCCACTGCAACCCAGTTGCCTGGCATTCTGGCACGCTTGCTAAAGCAGTGATACCACTACACCAGTTTATTATTATTCCAGATTTCCAGTGCTAATCTGCGCTTCTCTTATTCTCATGTGGTGTGATGTGTAATTCACATGGTTGAAGGTTAAGATTTGTATGTGCATCTTGCTTAAATTTAGGAAAACAACATTTCTAAAACAACAAGAAGGCCCGTCTAGCTCAGTCGGTAGAGCGCAAGGCTCTTAACCTTGTGGTCGTGGGTTCGAGCCCCACGGTGGGCGATTTCATTTTTCCTTTTTTAAACTTTATTGTTTTTCTTCTTATTTTATTTCTCTGTTCTTTGTTTCCTTAGTTCCTTCGAAACAAGATTGTTTTTTATCACTTTTTTTCTCCTCATTATTCTTCTTTTCTTTCTCTATATTTTTTTCATCAGTTACTTCTAAGCCACAAATCCTTATTCGTTCAATTGTTTTTCTTCCTCTTATTTTCTTCCTCTATTTTATTTCTTCAGTACCTTCTAAGCCAGAAATTCTCTTATCCTTCTTTTCTTTCTCTTTTTCTTTTTTTTCCCCTCAGTAACTTCTAAACCACGTTTCCTCGGTACCTTCTAAACCAGAGATTATCTGCTCCAAAGTCCAAAACCATGTCCGTTACCTCCTTGGTTTTGTTTGATTCAAAAAACGTGCAAATACGCAATGCAATAATCGCTATCTCATTCCATTGGGTGCCTACTTGATGATCACTTGACGTTGGAAAATGTGCAATGCAAATGATCGTTATCTTACTCCATTTGGGGCCTCCACTTGATTGTTCTTTCTTGCTCAAATGCCGGCCTGTGTTGGCGGCTAGCTAGCTTCTTCTTCTTCTTCTTCTTCACATTGACCATTTCCTCGCCTCTCAACACTCTTATTCAACCATAAAATCAATCCAACTCCAGCTAATTCCTGCGCAAGCTTGCTGCAGCTGCAGTCTTCTGTGGTTTTGCAGGGTGAAGCAGATGAGGTTTCTCTATTTTTGTTCCCTCATCTATCAGTTCCATATCTAAACCAGAAATTCTTTTTTTTTGTTTTTCCACATTGTTTTTCTTCTTCTTTGCTTTCTCTATTTTGTTTCCTTTCCTCGGTTCCTTCTAATCATTCCTCATTGCTTTTCTTCCTCTTCTTTTCTTCCTCTATCTTCTCAGTTCCTTCCAAGTCAGAAATTCCTTATTTTCTTCTCATTGTTTTTCTTCCTTCTTTTCCTTCTATATTTTTTGTTTCCGCAGTTCCTTCTAAACCAGAGATTATCTGCTCCAAAGTTAAAAACAATGTTCATTAGTTCCTCGGTTTTGTTTTGTAAAACTACAGATTCAAAGAACGTGCACAATGTGTGATGAAATGATCGTTATCTTAGCCCATTTTGGGCCTCCACTTGACCACTTGTTATTTTTTCCTTTCTTGCTCAAATGCCGACCTGTGTTGGCAGCTAGCTTCCCCTGATCTTCCCCCTTGGCCATTTCCTAACCTCTCAACACTCTGTCATTTAGCCATAAATTCAATCCACTGTCCAGCTAAATTCCTACAGAATCTTGCTGCAGCTGAAGCAAATGAGGTTCTTGATCATGGCAGCCATCAGGTGGGTGGTTCTTGCATACATTGTCGTCATCGGATGCGCCACTATTGCGCGTGGCGATGAGCAGCCACTGTCGAGGATTGCGATCGAGAGGGCGACGGTTGCTGCTGTTGATTCAGCCAGCGTGAAGGCTCAACCGACAGTTCTTGGCCTGAAGGTTTGCTGCTCATTTGCTTCATAGAAACACTGATTTCTTAATTGCATAATTACAATGAAATCTCATGCACTTTTACCCTTTTTTGCGGCTATGTATGTTTCAGGGTCAAAGTAGTGATTGGGTGGTGGTTGAATTCTCCCATCCGAAACCCTCCAACGACGATTGGATTGGTGTCTTTTCTCCTTCTGGATTCAGGTCAGCTGCAAGCATGTGTTGATTTGCATATATCTTGTCTAAATTGTGTACTAGAACTATAAATGGAACGATGGCATCATTCAATGTCTGAACATTTTTAGCTCTGAAATATGCCAACCTGAATACTATGGAGACCTCCCACCCTATCTGTGTACATCACCTATCAAGGTTGGTGCCCTCCCGTCCTTTCATATTTTTCATATTTATGCTGCTATTCATGATGCATCATGGATTGAGTTTTGGAAGGTTCTCTGCAGTTCCAGTATGCAAATTTCAACAATGCTGACTACAACAGAAGTGGCAAGGGATTGCTGAGGCTGCAATTGATCAACCAGAGAGAAGACTTCTCATTCGCGCTCTTTTCGGGAGGCCTTTCTGCTGTAGGATTTCAGCATATATCATCTCACATTTTGAATAGTTTTTGGAATTGACATTTTTCCTGACAATTTTTCATGCTGTTGCAGCCAAAGCTGATTGCTATCTCAAACAAAGTATCGTTCCAGAATCCGAAGGCACCCGTCTATCCTCGGTTAGCACAGGGGAAATCTTGGAATGAAGTGAGAATAATCCTCTTGCTTATTGTAACAATGCAAGTGGACATGTTGATTACTTGATAGCTTAATTATCTTCAAATATCTTTCTCACTTTAGTGACTGAACTGTTAATACCACACTAGATGACAGTCACATGGACAAGTGGATACAGCATTAAGGAAGCTATACCATTTGTCGAATGGGGTCATAAAGGCGGAAACCAGATGCTTTCTCCTGCTGGAACGTTGACATTCAGCAGAAATAGCATGTGTGGTGTGTTTTATCAACAATCTTTTCTCTTGGCAAATGATCATTTTGCTTTGATGGAAATGGCATTTTTCATATTTTTTGTACAACCTCTTTCTGCAGGTTCACCTGCACGGACAGTCGGATGGCGTGATCCTGGATACATTCATACAAGTTTCTTGAAGGAATTGTGGCCTGATTCCTTGTATGTGATCTGCATTACTTCCTTCAACCAGCATTCTCTTTTCTTTTTATTCCTTTATTAGTTATTTCTATAGATAATTTTAGTTAACTGGATAATAGCCTTCTGTAAACTAGGTTACAAAGATGACATGATATATTGTTGTTTCTGGTTGGCCACTATGCAGATACACTTACAGGCTTGGTCACAGACTACTAGATGGTACTCACATTTGGAGCAAGTCTTACAGCTTCCGAGCATCTCCTTATCCCGGACAAGATTCTGTGCAACGTGTCGTGATCTTCGGAGACATGGGAAAGGTGAGCAGTTTGTGTATTGTTGTATTTCACTTCGATCCAGTCTTTAACTCACATTTTACTTGTTTAGGCAGAAATAGATGGTTCTGATGAGTATGGAAACTATGAGCAAGCCTCCTTATACACTACCAACCAGCTAATCAAGGAATTGGATAGCATTGATATGGTTATCCACATTGGAGACCTTTCATATGCCAATGGCTATTTGTCGCAGTGGGATCAGTTCACACAGCAGATAGAGCCGATCGCTTCAACTGTGCCTTACATGATTGGCAGGTCAATTTAGTCAATTTCTCACAATTTAAAAGTACTGACTAATAGTACTTGTGGTAAGTGGTAACATTGATTCAATATTGATCCTTGTTTGCATTTCAGTGGTAATCATGAGAGAGATTGGCCTGGAAGCGGGTCATTCTATGGACACAACGATTCTGGTGGCGAATGTGGGGTCCCTACTCAGACCATGTTCTATGTCCCAGCTGAGAACAGGGCAAAATTATGGTAATTTCAGCATATTAAAGCCATATAATTAGTTGAACTCATGTGATTACTTATTGATGAAAAAAATTGTTATCTTATCTCCAGGTACTCGACAGACTATGGCATGTTCAGATTTTGCATAGCTGATACTGAACAGGACTGGAGACCAGGAACTGAGCAGTATAAGTTCATCGAGCAATGCCTGTCGTCGGTCGACAGGTCGAAGCAACCATGGCTCATCTTCCTTGCACATCGGGTTCTTGGATACTCATCTGCGAGTTGGTATGAGATCATGATGGGATCATATGGTGAACCAATGGGCCGAGATGGTCTCGAGGAACTCTGGCAGAAGTACAAGGTTGATCTCGCAGTTTTCGGTCATATACACAGCTATGAGCGCACTTGCCCCATTTATCAGGTAAACCTACAACCTAAATTCTCATCAAGAAATTATGTAACAGAAACTCAGAAATCAAATTCATACACCATGTCAGCTTTGTTTTCAACTACTTTGCAGGACTTGCTACAGTAGATATGTACTATTCCAGTAGCCTTGATTTACAATTTATCAAATGTGTGACAAATTTCATTTTACTTGGTTGCAGAACCGATGTGTCCAGGATGGCTCAAACCTTTACACCGGTCAATTCAATGCGACTACTCATGTAATTGTGGGAGGAGGCGGCGCGATGCTCTCTCCCTTCAGAGCCACTGTACCCTATTGGAGCTTCTTCAGGGACTACGACTTTGGGTTCTCGAAGCTCACTGCACTCAACCACTCTACGCTTCTGTTCGAGTACAAGAAGAGCCGGGATGGAAAGGTCTATGACCACTTCACCATCTCGCGTGATTACCGAGATATCATGGCATGCTCAATTGATAACTGCCCAAGAACCACCTTGGCAGTATGAACAGCCTCCACTAGTTCATTGTCATTATCTTTGTGAAGTGTTAGTATGTGCTGAAGCATATATGCTAAGCATTGTACTGTTTGACACTGGATTATCTAGTGATATAGTGACAGTGGAGCTGGAATAAACCATCCAATCAGCCAAAGTCTGAATTGCAGTTAGCCAAATTTTAGAGAGGAAATTAGCCAATCACACTGCCAGTTTAGAACAAAAAGAGATAAGTAAAAGAACTGGACAATGCATAATATGTCCAATCAATCCATATATTTACAAATAACTGTCACATTCTTTTTGACAAAAACTGCACTAAGATGCCCTCTGAATGCACCTCATGCTCAAAAGACTAGTTTTCAATTCCCATTGTAAATGGAGGGAGAATCTTCATAAAGCTTTTCATGTTCTTCCCTCATAAAAAAAGCATGACATTTTCCCATACAACTGAGACAAGTACAGGAAATACTATAACAGAGAAGTCTATAAGATCTGCATCACTATTTTGTACCTAACTTAGTAACTGATACCTAGTGGTCTTCTATTACACTTTAAATGGCGTAATATTTATATAGGATTACGTGACGTAATATATGTGATTTATGTATCGTTAATTCAGCTAGGGATGAAAACGGATCGAATACGGTCGGAAACTAGCTCTATCATATTTGTTTTCATATTTTTTTTTCGAAATCAAAATCGGAATCGGAAACCCGGATATGAAAATGAAATTGAATATTATTGAATACAAATACGGAGCGAATACAAAGCGAAATGAATACGGTGACGAATATTAATCGGAATATAAAAACCCCTCACTACTACACAAACGATTTTTGTGTACGAAACCCTATGATTTTTGCAAACGGACCACAATTTGCCGCGTCGGCATTTTCACATACGACTCCTTAAGACACCAAAATGAGCTCATTTTTGCATGCGGACCACTTAAGAGCCCGTATGGAAAAAAACAATTTTTCCATACGGGCGTCTTAAGGAGCTGCATATGAAAATAAAATTTAAAAATTTAAAACTAGTTTATCTCACTCATATGAACTTCAAGTTGGATGATTCTTTTTCCTAAATGTTTCTAAAATCATGCTCTATCAGATTATTGTGTCTTTACTGTTATTATTTTGGCCATTTTTTCTTGTGACTTTGTTTTATCAATTAAAAAATTGAATTTCAAAACTTCAAATGATATTTTGAAGCAGTAAATAATTTCAGCTAAAAAAGTCATGAACATAAAAGTTGTAGAACTCATCAAGACATACAACTTTTATTTTGGTAATTTCTTCATTTGATAAAGTGATAGTAACATTGTTCATAAAATTTACATATCTCTCTTATAGTTTATAAAACGAAATGAGAGATATGTAAATTTTGTGAACAATGTTACTGTCACTTTTTCAGATGAAGAAATGACCAAAATAAAAGTTATAGATCTTGATGAGTTATAAAACTTTGTTGTTGATGACTTTTTCAGTTGAAATCATTTATTATTTGAAAATGTTGTTTGAAGTTGTCATATTTTCAAATTCAAATTCAATCCGTTCAAACAAAGTTATATAGAAAAATGATCAAAATAAAAGTTGTAGATCTTGATAACTTGGTAATCGGCAAAGACGTCATCGGCTTAAAATCATTATCGGCTGCAGTATCTTGGAATCAGCCGATGGGAGTTATCAAGTCTCCAATAGTCGGATTCCTGCTATATTCAGTTAAGGAAATCAATCTACTAAAGGAAGCTTATCCCTAAGTGACCGAGTTTAAAGAGGATGCGGCATGGCAGTTTATATATTAATTAGGAATAGTTTGTTAGTTTCCTTTTATCTTTAGGAAATTGTGTTTAGTGTCCGATAAGGACTTTATATTTTCCTTTTATCTTTAGGTTAGTTTCTTTCTTGTCCGACAAGGACTTGTATCAACCCATGGGTATAAATATATACACCCGGGGTCTATGTAATCTATCCTCACGATCAATACAACTCGGCGCATCGCCACCTTTTACCTTTTCTACTTTATTTTATCGTCCGGCGGGACTTGGCACCTGATGCGGGGCTGCATCGTCTTCGATCTCCGGCCAAGGGATAAGTCCAATGTTCCGTCGGCCCAGGCAATTGTCTCATCTACATCAGCGTCGTTCAAGGCTGCATCAGTACATTCGACCTCTTGGATTGCTCCGGTTTGGATGATATATTTTCCTACCTATTTATCATATGTCTCTGTTAATCTAGTCTTAGCATATCAATTTAGCTCTATCGGCTGCTTCTCGTTTTAGGGTTTCTGCCGGTATCGGCTAAATCGTGTTGTTAGATTAGATTAGCTTAGACATCTACCACCCTGAAAACTCAGTCAACGGCTTGATTGTGTAGATATTATGTTTCTTTTCATACTTAGTGCTGCATCAATTAAGTTTGATCTACTAAGTCGTGCTTAGAACCATAATCTCTAGCCTGCTTTTTGACTGCAAATAAGGGTTTCATCGGGGTTTCAGCCGATGAGTTATCTGGACGTTGCATCGGCTTGCAAGGATTGCATATACATACATATTGGATTTAGCCGATCGCAACAAAGGTTTCACTGTTTAATCTAATCTTGTGGATTTAATGACATCGGACCTCCAGCCAATGTATGCTTTAACCTTCATATCAGTGTTTATTATATATTGTTTCTAGCCGATTGGTTTCTACTGGATTAAATTGCTATATTATATTATCATCAGCCGATTGCCTTCATATCATTATATACATTGGACATATAGCCGATTGCTTGAACCCTATCGCTATCGGCTGGTATCGGCATCGGCTATTATCGGCTATCGGCTGGAACTACTCCATCGGCTTGTCAGCCGATCGGCTGTTTTGATCTACTATTTGCATATCTTGTCAGTTACAGGATCAAACTGACTGGCACGCCCGCATCTCATCAATCTTTGGACCTGCACAGGAGCTAAGCAGATCTCCCAGGCCGGTGTGTTCGATTTTTTTCGTCAACAATTTGAAATCATTTACTACCAGAAGAATTATTTAAATTTCTTATATTTTAAAATTCAAATTTTATATAGTTCAATGAAAATCGGATGGAGAAATGACCAAAATAAAATTGGTAGATCTTAATGAGTTCTACAACTTTGTTTTTGACAACTTTTTCATATGAGTTCATTTAGTATCATAAAATTCAATTCGAAATTCATTTTTGCCAAGAAGTCTGATTGGCCTCCTCATGGTTGGGCTAGCTTATGGGCTATGGCAGCCTTATGTATAAGTCAGATATCCAATGGAAAATACTGGATAATATCCGATGGATATCACCTATCATATTCGTTTTCATATCCGAAAAAATATCCGAATTCGAAAATTTCCGGATATATCCGACCGAAACTATCCGAATCCAAAAAAAGGTCCGGTCGGACAAAAATTATCTGAATCACTTTCAACCCTAAATTCAGCTGGTCATCATTTAGAGGGAGTTCGGGGTTTGTCGTGTGAATTCATGTTTTTTCTCTCTGTATTAAAACTGATTGGTTGTGTAGCCAATGACAGAAGACAGAGATGTAAATAATTTCCATTATCCAAAAAAATTGTACTTGGTTGTGTGCCTTCGTATCTAGTGCGGAGGCCAGGAGTTTCTTTTTTAATAATAGGACTAACTCCTTGTCTCCGCATCAACTACGGATGCAGAGGCTAGGAGTTACTTTCATTTTCTGAAAATGGAATCTATGCCTAACGACATGAGTGTGTATCTAGGTCCAAGCTAGGATGGAAGACCTGTGTAATTTGTAGTAGTAAAAGACATCTGAAGATAAAAGGTTGTCCAAACTAATACAACACCTTACCTAACTAGATTCTACCCCCTGTTTTAGAAAGTATCCCCTATCCCACCTACTTTCAGATCCAAACCTAGTACTGCTTAACTAGTAATATATGGTTGCTGACAAGGAAAGCAATATCATTTCATTAATATTCTATAGTGCTTACAACAGATTCTGATATTTTAGTCTTCTAGATATTGTTTTGAACATCCTCCCTCCATCCCAAAATATAAGAAATTTTGGAGGGATGTGACACTTTCTAGTACTACGAATCTGGACAAGACTAGTTCTAGGAAGTGTCACGTCACTCCAAAATCCCTTATATTATGGGATGGAGGGAGTACTAACATAATTAGTGATCAAACATTGACTCCATACAACATTTTCTTTAGAAAAGAAGTATAACTTTCGATCTCTGTATCAACTAAGCATGCACACAACCATATTTGTAGGCACGATTATTAATACCCACGACTTCACCACCACACCAATGGTGCATGATGGTACCATCCTATAAACATCAACAGAGGAAATACTTGGGTCGCAGTCGGACTACTGCCACACGATTGTATTATCCCCATGACACTGAATCGAGATACTAGCAACCTTCGAAAACCTTCAGGTAGTAATGTTGTTGGCTGAGTGCTGATAGCAGTGAGAATGGTCCACAGAGGATGCAGAATTCCATCATGTTGGTCAGTCACTCATCCCGTGTTTCACTCCAATTCAAAATCACCCGTGAGTGACTCGTCCATCATCTCCTTTAAAAAAATCTTATCACATATGTTCGCATGGCAACTTGGTACACTAACTTAATTGCAGGTTCGTTTCATATGGCACACACTTGCATGAACCGCAGAGAGAGCTATAATTATTGGAAAATAATGTGCTTGACTGACTCTGAAAAGCATGGTGTTTTCAGATACAGATGGCACTGACACAGTCAATGGATGTAAATGATCTAATTTCTAGACTAGCTGAATTCCAGTCCCACACCAATTTCGACTCGAATTTGAAGAGGTAAAGGATTCTCCTATGGACCAGTGTCAGCACGCATTCATACGGTCATACCTCAATCATTGGATGTGTGTATTATTTATATGATCACATCTGCATCCATTTCCTCCAAGGAGTTCTTGAAGTTGCTACCTTTTACTTGGTGCCTTGCTCTCTCTTTCTTGGAGATTGCTGCCGTCTATAAGGAATTTCAGATAGGAGGTGGATTCCAGGCTAAGTTCATCACTGACTCTGGCTGGGTAATTTTTTTTTCAGGTCTCTGAAGGAGGAGTATGATCAGGCTGTGGGTGGTGGTCACATGGCTGGTTCTTTGGGCCGCAGCTGCGGTGC